TTTTTTGTTGAAAAATCACAAATAATGTTTGGTTTTGTGAAGAGTTTTAATATAAAACTGATACTAGTACATTTTTCAAAATATTTCACTAAAATTAATTTTACAAAAAATTCTGCATTGAACTGGAAGGTCTGGAAAATTAAATTTTAAAAAAACGCGTAAAAAATTGCTATTAAATCGTTTTGAATTGTTTTTAATGAAAAAATTGGAATCATATTAGGACAAATTATAACTGTTTCAACCCGTCGAGGTCCCAAAAAAATTCACGACCATCGCGACTTAAAGTGGATGAGTTGCGATCATAGTATTTTTGTGCGATTTTGCGCTGCTCGACAAAAAATATGTCGCGACCTTGCATGACGAAGAAAAAAGGCAAACAAATATGCATTTTTCAGGCATTAAACTTGAGTTTAGCCTCGGTTAATACAAAATTAGCAGTTTTAATTGAGAAAATTGATTGGAAATACATAGTTTAGATCATTAACAGCATTAATCCGACATAAAAATCATTAACAGCATTAATCCGACAAATAGGGAGGGACGGGTTCTTGCATATTAATAGCAAACAAGCTTGTCTAGTTGTCTAGCTGCACATTATAAACACATCTACGGCAATTATAATCACAGATCTGCTACATACATGTTATAGTTTTAGCCAAAAAATTAAACAAAAAAAATTTTTTAAATGCGGCGGAATTGCTACTTTTCTGACCAACGTCTCAGCCGTACCACATTCAAAAAAATTAGGCGAAGACTAGAAATAAAATGTTAAAAATAATTCAAACTCACAAACAGCCTGTAAGCTCTGATAAACTTCACTATATTTAAGGGACGCTTACAAAAACAAATAAGTCAGCCGCCCCTTCAATTATGCCATATCTGCATACCCGGGAAGCTACACCAAAAATTCTTGTCATATTATTCCATACAGTTGGTCGATGCAAAAAAAAACATGATCTTATATTAAATTGCAAAAACAGGAAGAAAGAGTTTAAAAGGGCATTTTACCGGTTTTGAGCAATTTCCGAATGCAAGTTTGAATTTTTAGGTGACCGTGACTCATATTTTCTTTACTAAAAAGAAAACTTCTGCATGCTAAAGATGACCTAAAATGATAACAAGACTGCTCGTGTCAGGGCGAAGCACTGAATGTTCCGACTGCCTTTTAAGGTTTATGGAGCAGTAACAACATTAAAAAATTCAATGAAAGAAAATAAAATGAACTTTTTTTTTCTAAAATTTGAAAATTTTTATGAAAATCATCCCCTCACACGCCATATAAAGTACAAAAGGATAAATTTCGCTCCTGGTAACAAACCAATTATGGCAAATCAGCTTCTTTTAACCAATTTGGAACGATTTCTAAGACGGATTAACTCTCCGCTTACGCGTTAATAGCGCGAAATATATCGCGCGTTAATTGTCCCAAATTGGCGAAATGGCAATCTTTAAACTCCCGTAACTTTACAAAAAATAAACACAAGTAAAATATTTTTTCAAATTTGAGCTCAAGACAACAATACCTTTCGAATGCTATAAAAAAATCCGTCAAAATGGCTAGTTAAAAAGTCGAAATTTGTCTGAAGAAAAAAAACCCACCACGAGCACAAATATTCCGTTACATTCGTATCGAAAGTCGGAACAATAAGACTGCTCGAATCAGGGCGAAGCTAAATACATTAAACAGAAAATTTTTTTTTAAATGCGGCGGAGTTGCTACCTTTCTGACCAACGTCTCAACCGTACCACGTTCAAAAAAATTAGGCGAAGACTAGACATAAAATGTGAAAAATAATTCAAACTCACAAACAGCCTGTAAGCTCTGATAAACTTCACTATATTTAAGGGACGCTTACAAAAACAAATAAGTCAGCCGCCCCTTCAATTATGCCATATCTGCATACCCGGGAAGCTACACCAAAAATTTTTGTCATATTTTTCCATACAGTTGGTCAATGCAAAATAAAACATGATCTTATATTAAGTTGCAAAAACAGGAAGAAATAGTTTAAAAGGGCAATTTACCGGTTTTGAGCAATTTCCGAATGCAAGTTTGAATTTTTAGGTGACCGTGACTCAAATTTTTTTTACTAAAAAGAAAACTTCTGCATGCTAAAAATGACCTAAAATGATAACAAGACTGCTCATATCAGGGCGAAGCACTGAATGTTCTGACTGCCTTTTAAGGCTCATGGAGCAGTAACAACATTAAAAAATTCAATGAAAGAAAAAAAAATGAATTTTTTTTTTCTAAAATTTGAATTTTTTTATGAAAATCGTCCCCTCACATGCCATATAAAGTACAAAAGGATAGATTTCGCTCCTTGTAACAAACCAATTATGGCAAATCAGCTTCTTTTAACCAATTTGGAACGATTTCTAAGACGGATTAACTCTCCGGTTACGCGTTAATAGCGCGAAAAATATCGCGCGTTAATTGTCCCAAATTGTCAAAATGGCAATCTTTAAACTCCCGTTACTTTACAAAAAATAATCACAAGTGAAATATCTTTTCAAATTTGAGCTCAAGACAACAATACCTTTCGAATGCTATAAAAAAAATTCCGTCAATAATGGCTAGTTAAAAAGTCGAAATTTGTCTGAACAAAATAAACCCACCACGAGCACAAATATTCCGTTACTTTTGTATCGAAAGTCGGAACAATAAGGCTGCTCGTATCAGGGCGAAGCCCTGAATGTTTTGACTGCCTTTTGAGGTTATTGGAGCAGTAACAACAAAAAAAATAAAGGTAATAAAACAAAATGAAAATTTTTTTTCTAAAGTTTGAAATTTTTTTTATTAAAAACATCACCCCACACGCCATATAAAGTACAAAAGGATAAATTTAGCTCCTTGTAACAAATCAATTATGGCAAATAAGCTTCTTTCAACTAATTTGGAACGATTTCTATGACGGATTAAATCTCCGCTTACGCGTTAATAGCGCGAAAATATCGCGCGTTAATTGTCCCAAATTGGCAAAATGGCAATCTTTAAACTCCCGTTACTTTACAAAAAATAATCACAAGTGAACTATTTTTTCAAATTTGAGCTCAAGACAACAATACCTTTCGAATGCTATTGATGTTGCTGGTATGTATTTCAAATTCTGATTGGGAAACTGAATTCCCTGCTTGTAGATGTTCAAAATGGTAAGGCTTTTAAAGTTTTTCTGCGTAGTTAATATCTTTGACTACCAAAATTTCGCTAGCAAGTTTCACTGCCAGTTGCAATAATGAGCTGTTTTTTTTTCTGAAATAACAACAGAGAAATAGCAAATATTCGGGCGAAGTCATGAAGATTTCCACAAAAACAAACAAGATTGCTTGTATCAGGGCGAAGCCCTGAACGTTCCGACAGTAATAACATTAAAAAAAAATAACTGTAACAAAATAAAATGAAAATTTAATTTGAGATTTTTTGTGAAAACCATCCTCCCACACGCCATATTAAGTACAAAAGGATAAATGTAGCTCCTTGTAACAAATCAATTATGGAAATTAAGCTTCCCTCAACTAATTTGGAACAATTTCTAAGACGGATTAAATCTCCGCTTACGCGTTAATATATCGCGCGTTAATTGTCCCAAATTGTCAAAATGGCAATCTTTAAACTCCCGTTACTTTACAAAAAATAATCACAAATAAAAAAATATCTTTTCAAATTTGAGCTCAAGACAACAATACCTTTCGAATGGTATAAAAAAATTTTGTCAAAATTGGCTAGTTAAAAAGTCGAAATTTGTCTGAAGAAAAAAACCCACCCCGAGCACAAATATTCCGTTACTTTCGTATCGAAAGTCGGAACAAAAAAACTGCTCTCGAATTAGGGCGAAGCCTTGAATATTCCGACTGCCTTTTGATATTAATGGAGCAGTAACAACAAAAAAAAATAAATGTAATAAACTTGAATGAAAATTTTTTTTCTAAAGTTTGAAATTTTTTTTATCAAAAACATCCCCCAACACGCCATATAAAGTACAAAAGGATATATTTTGCTCCTTGTAGCAAATCAATTCTGGCAAATAAGCTTCTTTCAACCAATTTGGAACGATTTCTAAGACGGATTAAATCTCCGCTTACGCGTTATTAGCGCGAAATATCTCGCGCGTTAATTGTCCCAAATTGGCCAAAATGCAATCTTTAAACCCCCGTAACTTTACAAAAAATGATCACAGGTGAAATATCTTTTCAATTTTGAGCTCAAGGCAACAATACCTTTCGAATACTATAAAAAATTTCGTCAAAAAGGGCTAGTTAAAAAGTCGAAATTTGTCTGAAGAAAAAAAAACCCACCCCGAGCACAAATATTCCGTTACTTTCGTATCGAAAGTCGGAACAGTAAGACTGCTCGTATCAGGGCGAAACCCTGAATGTTACGACTGACTTTTGAGGTTAATAGAGCAGTAACAACAAAAAAAATGTAATAAATTAAAACGAAATTTTTTTTTCTAAAGTTTGAATTTTTTTTTTAATCAAAAACATCCCCCACACGCCATATAAAGTACAAAAGGATACATTTCGCTCCTTGTAACAAATCAATTATGGCAAATAATCTTGTTTCAACCAATTTGGAGTGATTTCTAAGACGGATTAAATCTCCGCTCACGCGTTATTAGCGCGAAATATCTCGCGCGTTAATTGTCCCAAATTGGCCAAAATGGCAATCTTTAAACCCCCATAACTTTACGAAAAATGGTCACAGGTGAAATATCTTTTCAAAATTAAGCTCAGGACAACAATAGCTTTCGAATATAATTTCGTCAAAAATAGCTAGTTAAAAAAGTCTGTTGAAAGTCTGTTGAAAAAAAACCCACCCCGAGCACAAATATTCCGTTACTTTCGTATCGAAAGTCGGAATAATTAGCTCCTTTTAATTAATTTTGTCTGTTCCATTTTTTACAACTCTCTCTATACTCTTGCAAAATACGCTGGTCGACATTTTCCATATCAAGGAAACTGTATGAGTAGCATTTTTTCAACCCTTTGGGGCGGTGTACCTCTGGAGCCATGTAGTCTGGTGTCCCGCAGAATGTCCTGGTGACGTCATCGGAGGACATGTTGTCCTTACACATACCGAAGTCTGTAATCTTCACGTGACCTTCCACATCTAGCATCACATTATCTGGCTTCAAGTCTCTACAACACACAGTTTCCTGAATATTAGAGTGAGAATATGGGAAAGAGGGATCCATCATGATAGAAAAAAACTGAGGACAGTAAATTATAGTAGACAGTTGTTAGAATTTAGTGAAGGGGCGGATTTACGGGGGGGGGGGACTTGTGCGACATACCGAAAAAACGCGGTTTTTTGGTACAAAATTTCCAAAAAGTGACTGAAAACGCATTATTTGGCATGTTTTTTTTTTCAAAATTTTGCCTGCGGCGCAGAAAGTTTGGCCAAAGTACGGTCTTTTTGGTGCTTTGGCAGAGCTCGGAAAATCAATTTAGTCGACCTAAAAAATCAAGCACCGCCCCCTCGAGAAAACCCTGGATCCGCCCCTGATTTACTGTTTGTAAATCTGAAAAGAATTTCAATCAACATCTTAGGCTGTTCAAAATTTTAAAAGGATGGATGTAAATTATTATACCACTCGGAATTGCTTCCCACATGAGAAAGGAGTTTACAAAGTTACTTGGTATCTTTTATCGAAGTTGTCAAACTCATTCAAAAGCAATTAGCCCTAAGCAGTGGCGTTTGAAGGAACTTTTTGACGGGGGAGGAGGGTCAGGGGGTCGAAGCGGCCCCCTACATCTACCCTTAATAACTTTTTAAAGTCCTCCGATGCCAACCCCTTTCCCGGCCCTATAAAGCTCTTAAACATTATCAGAGTTATTAGTTCGGCATTTTGGCAGTTTGTTCTGTTACCTGTAAATGATTCTCTTTTCGTGCAGGTAAAGAATGGCAGCTGTGACTTCTGCTATGTAGAACCTAAAACAAAGAAAATACAAATTGACAAAAATATTTGGTCTATGATTCGATTTATTGTAAAATCATCTAGGACAACCAAAACCTAGATTTCTTTCTAGCCCCATAGCTTCAATTTATGACCAAAAAACGCGTAAGAAAGAAGGGGTGGATGTAGGTGGGCGTCCACCCCCTCAGGGATTCGACCACCTGCCGAGTCAAAGGGTCCATCCTTTGTACTATTGTGAGATATCAATTTTTGGTGACGGACGCTAAAAACTTCCTAAAGGCGCCTTTGGCGCCAATATAAACTAAATTAGAAGGGGGAGCGCGCCGAAAAACGTGACTTTTTCGCGCCGTAAAAACGCCTTTTTTAGAAAAGTTTTAGAAAATCCCCCCCCCCCCGAGAAAATCTTAGATCCGCCCCTGTGAAAGGTCACTGACTCATTTCACATTTCTTTCAACAGCCCATATGATAAAAACAGGTGAAACTAAATAGGGGTCACAAAATGGTGCCTAGTTCTAGAAGAAAAAGTAATGTTTGCAAAAACAATAACCCAAAACAACCATGTTCTCCTTAAGTACGAACATGCAGAGAAATTTCTAATTGTTACCAAAAAATTTTGGCCTTATTCAAAGAACCAAGGCTGTTCGCATAAAGACCAACCACTGAATGTTGCGACTTCTTTTCAATTAGCTAACAAAGTGTCTTTGTCATAACGGAAGTGGATAAGCCCTTCAAGAGAAAAGAGGCGAAACGCTTCCATTTTCAGAAAATCCACCACTGAAAACCTGTTAAGTATTAAGTTGAATTGATAAAATGAAATGAGCATAGTTAAGCACTGTTTAGACCTAGTTGTTGGTTTTAATTCAATTTGGATCGTTTTTGCCACTATCGAGCCGCGAAATTGGAAATAAAGGGCATAAACCGGGAAAAAGGCAAACTAATAAGCCCAATTGCCAGTTTTTAAATTCGATATTAAAAAAAACTTTTAGTTTTTTTTTCAAGTTTCTAAGTCTTTTCAGTGTATCCAAAAACTTGTTCAAATTTTCAGATTCAAAGACAACTAAAATCTCTGTTAGTTCATGCAATATTAATTTTGTACAACACTGCGTTAATTCAGGGCAAAGGAGTGAAATGTCAGATTGCCGTTCATTATGTTTGACATAGATTTAGAAGAAAAAACCTTTTCATTGAGTTTCGACGGATTTTGAAAACTTCTGTTTTACGTACAAAGTGATTAACTTTGCAATTCTTGGAAATAAATATTTGGAATAAACAAGTAGCCTGCCTCAGTTTGACTAAGAATGATTTTTGAGGCGTAATAATTCGCTACAACGACTCAATCAACATAGTATTGGAAGTTCTGTTGCGAACAAAAACCTCAAACCCCCATAACTTAACAAAAATTGCCACGGTGCAAAATTTTTTTGTTTCTCATTTCAAGGCATCAAAAGTTTTCATTTTCATTTCTATTGATTTTGTAAAAACTGTAACTTAAAAAATTGAAAAAGACAAAGTACCCCGAGCACAATCAATCCACTATTTTCTTCAAGACTCGTAAGATTCTTCATTTTTCTCAATAACATAATCTTATTCACAACGCCCCAAAAAACGAAGAAATTTAGTCTTTTTAGATGCTTAATTGTTGTTTTACTCATTGAAGTGGTGAATATGTTCGCTCCAACTTATCTGAGGTAAATTTGTAAAAACAATGAGAGATAAAAAACAAAACTACTGGTATATCCCTGAACTTTCCGATTGATTGCACTTTAAGGTAGAAAAAAACTTCGGTTGAATTGTTGAAAAAATCATCATAAAAATTGAAAGGAGTTTTTTTCCCATCTTTTTTTATGTAGTTTTTCTCCAACACGCTTTAACGAAAACTAAAAAGGGCGCTTTTAGCGCTTCGTATTAATTTATTAAGACAAAAATTCTCGCTTCAGTTTACATTAGAACACATTACTTTAATGCCTTCCCGTCTTAAAAGAATGCCATTTGTTGCGCGTTAATTATTCTTGAAAAACAAGCAATTTTTAAACCCCCGTATTTTACGAAATGATCACAGTGAAAATATCTTCCTTAACTTCAGCTTGAGACGACAATATTTTTCAGATGCTATGAAAAATGCCGTCGCAAATCAAATGTTTAGTTAAGAAGTCAAAAATTTTCCACACTTTCTTGAAAACAGTGAGAAATTGTGTTAAAAAATGACCCTTCCTTCAAAATTGACCTTAAAAGGATATAGTTGTCATTAGATAATAATTTGAAAAGTTGTTTTAGCATGATAAATTTTCCTAAAATCAATTTGTAAAAAGTTCTCAGCCAAATTTATTCTTGATCTGAGCTACGCATTAATGAACAATTATACCCATCAAACATCTCATAGCCTTACACGCAAATCTGCGTCTATCAAGGCAAAATTGTGAAAATTCCGGCTGCACTTTTAGCCAATTAATGTTTTTTTGATTGAAATATTGATAAAAAAATTCGAAAAAACAGAAGGAAGAAACTTTTTCACTGTGTTAATTGTTACGCCACACGCTATGTATAACAAACGGATGTATTTAGCGTCTAGTATCCTGATAAGATCAAACTATTCGCTCCAATCTAATTCGGAACTATTTAATCATCCGCTACGCATGTTATAAGCAAGCAATATTTCGCTGGTTAGTTTTTCCAATTTTGTCAAAATAGCAAATTTCAAACCCCTATATTTTTCCAAAAAACGTTCATGGGTGTATTTGAAATGTTTATTACTAAAACTAAGCCAAAACTTACTGACAGATGAAGTTTTGGATATTTTTCATGGAATAAGGTTGAGCTAATCGACAGATCAGAAACCTTCAATCGAACTTGTAATGCTTAAGAAAAGAAAACAAATAATGTTACTGGGTAATGACCTCGTGTGGAAAAAAATGGAAAAATGGAATCGAACGAAAAAATCTTGATATTTTTTTCACAAACATGACCAATAAGCTATTCAATTAGAGTGCTGGTCAAAAAAGTACTACTAACACTGTCTCTTCGTGTTTGAATTTGCCCTTTCGGGTAAGATGATGCATCAAGTCTCCTCCGTCCACAAATTCCATCACAAAGAACAATTTGTCCTGAAAAAAACTGGAACAATGAGTTTAATTTAACAGTGGCGGACGTCGTATTTTTGCAATTTTGCAAAAAGTAGCGGTTTTTTGAAATGCTCCATTCTAAAAATTTTTGTACAATTACACCAAAGGTACCTTTTATAAAGTTTAGGTCGCTTATAATGATTTAGTGACACTATAAATACCCTTTTCTGCGATATTGGAAAAACAAACCAAATTGCGCTCGTCCTGAAAAGCAGAATATTTTAGCGCGATAGATGACATTGGAAAAATTAGCGCCCTAGACGCCTTTAAAAATAGAATCGGTCGCAAAACGAAAATGCGAAATTATAAAAATTTCACACAGCCCCCCAGGCTCGGATCTAGGTTTTTTGTAAGTGGTACAAAAAAACTTTGAAAATTTTTAAAATTCAATTTCTCAAAACACTTGACTTCCTGAAACTTTTCAAAGTTTTGGAAAAAAAACAAACCAAAAACCGTTTTTGTGCATATATGAGAACGTTTTGAACGGCTCTCATCAAGTTTTCTATGTTTCGTTCCCAACAGCGCTTTCAAGAAAGTTTTATAATAGGTCAGTTTAACTTGCAACCACGAAACTTGTAACCACGTTCAAGGCCAGTGGTTCATTATTTTGTCTTTAAAAAAAGCTGTAAGAGCTGTCTTTTGTAAAATGTTTCATTCTTTTCAAAATTTTGAAATTATCCATGGGAGAATGATTTTGGCGGTGGAATGAACGTGAATGGGCGGAGGGATGTTGGAGGGGGTTTACGTTAAGGGGGAGGGGGAAGGGGGCTTGAATTTCTCTTTTCTTGCTTCTAGAAGTGGGTGTTTTGACTCTCCGCATTCACTCCCCGTTTTGAGGATGAAGAGAGGGTTTTAAAAAATTTTTCCACTTTTGTCAAATTTTTTGCCCAACTAAAAGATTTTTCGAGCTTTATCAAATATATTGAAAATTCCTTTCTAGAGTCTGACCATAAAATGACAATATAACGGAATGTTTTTCATGGAACTTGCATAACTGATGCGGACTTGCCAGACAGGGCTTTTGTTATCCTGCACCCATTTCTGATCTAGCCATACTTTAGCGAACCCTTTTCTTTTCAGCTCTTCATAATTGAGTATTTTACCCGGATGGAGAGCTAAGAAAATCGAATCCAAATTAAATTAAGATCCTAACTTGACCTGTTTATAGAGGAGGATGTTAACATGGTCCTAAAATTTGTTGTAGGTGCTTTTGGAGCCATCTGACTTTGAGTTTTGGTTGAAACGAGCGCCAAAAACAAGTCTAAATGCCTTGCAAAATGCATATTGGCACACAGTGTCAACAGAATTCCTGCAACGCAGACTGTTTTGACTAGTTTTGAAGACGAGTTAAAGACTGTGGATTTAATCTGGAATTTACGTTATCCCGAATAAGTATGCATTGCATTATTTGAGCAATGGAATATTTTAGAAAAATTGTTGTCATAGACGTTTTTACAAATAGAGTTGGTTAGCATATAATATCAACGAAATTATCAAAGTTGTTCACACAGCCCTCCAAGCACGGATGAAGGTTTTTTTTGAAAGATGTTTTCGAAAAACTTTTTTCTTTTTGATTCAATTTTAAAAAACACTGTGTTTTGTCAAAATCGCTTTGCAGTGCAAGCAATATTTAGAAAAAAAACATTTATAGAGTTTCGTTGATTTTGTTGCCCACGGCGTATTGAAAAAAAACTTAGAACTGATCGCCCGTACCGAACAAATTGCTTAATTCTGACGAAAGATACTTAACTTCTAATCTAAATATCTGGTCAGAGTATTTTTTGAAATGTTTAAATGAAGCAGGGATTTTTTTTAAATTTTTTATTTCTCATTTTAATTCTGAACAAAAATAAGCTAAATCTAAGCTATTTCTAGCTAGAGAAAAAGCTCCTGCTGTGACTCGAACATTCAACCTATGGGTTCTTAACCAATTTTATTATCAACTATCCAATATGACCTCATAAAAACTTATAGTTTTATAATAAAATATTGCAAAGTAACGCTTAATATAACAAGTGTTAATTTGCATTGTGTTGCTACGGCTATTGTGTATGCTTGCAGCATGTTTATGTCATTGCAGTTGAGTATTAAACTGATTTCAGGTTATTCTTGTTGGAAACTGTTTATTTCTAAAGCTAGATTAGGAATATATAGCTACTGTACAGAAAACACAGATAATTAAGTTAGATTAACTATAGAAGTTTTCTATCCAGTTTAGAAGCTTTTGTTGGGTACGGGCAGTTAACCATGTTCAACGCTAATAGTTAACTATTACTTTTTTTTTACTTTTGATTAGTTTTGACAGAGTATGGATCGAATCTGTAATCTAGTTTTTTCTGAGTAAGTATGCAATGCAATATATTATATGCTTTTTGATCCTGTGCATAAGGATTGCTTAACAATCTGAGGGCGTTTGCTTTGCTCCTGGAAGCGTAACGAACAAATTATCCGCACTCAAAATTATTGTAAAATCGGAACTATTTGAAACCAATTAAAGGGCAGTGGGATTTTTCTGGGTTTCGTTTTGAGATGTGAACATTTCTGTGTTAGTATTTATTTTCCTTTCTGTCGAATGTGACTAATGGTTGAAACTGAAAACGCTTTCAAAGTATATAGTTTGACAAACTTTTAAAACCATCTGATTTAAATTATCTGGACAAAGCGAGCACCACTTGAACACGCGTTTTTCTCAAAATGGGTCAAATTAATACAAAAAATGAATAATTCAAGACTGATTTCAAATTATGGTAGAACAAAAACTGCTCTAATTTATTTTGCGAAAATCGGACCCAAAAATTTACCCAAAAACCAATAATTTTTGCTTCCTTAGTCAATCAGAAATTACGTCAAAACTAACAATTGCTGACAAGTTTTGGTAACAGTGAGTTTTCAGACAGCATAGGAAAGGGCATGAATTCAAAAAAACATGATCTTGAAAATTTCAAGAAAAAAGTTTTTATAAAGCTTATGATAAAAATGACATTTTTTGGCTGAATGACAAAAACAAATTTGTTATGCAATTTTCAGGGGATAAGACACTTATTTAGTTTTGTTGACCTACAGAAGAAGCCCACTTGAATATATTTTTGTCAGAAATTAATCCAGTAGTTTTGGCGTAGTGTTTGATTGACTAAAAAATGATCGTCTTTGCGGTAAAAGAAATTGCACCATGTTAACTCTGCTAAATTTTCAAGTAAGTTTATTTTTGCCCTTTTTTGTCTAAATTTAACCCAATTTCAGAAAAATGCGTTTTCGATTTCAAACTACAATCATGTTGTCAAGATGACTTAGACCAGCACAGCAGCAAAATTTTTACTGTAATGTTATGCCACAGTGCTGGTTCAAATTATTCGAACAAAACTATCAAAAGAAGTTTCAAACATTGTTCCTTCTGTCCGGATAATTTAATCAGCACTATATTCTGGTCGGAATTATTAAAAGAAGACCCAGATTATGACGATATTATCGTACGAATGTCTGGAATGTGGAGTGTAGTTGTGTGAGGAAGAGGGGTTTGTGTTTGAGAGCCAGGACCCGCATCTCCAACAGGGCACACTCCTCGTCATTGTCTTTGATCAGAGCCTCCTTCGACAGACACTTGATCGCAAACACATCCCCGCTACTCTTGTGCTTCGCCAGTAACACCTGCAACGGACAAAAATTCGGATCGACTCAATTCGGATCGACTTCGAGAAAGGGAGAGAGATTGTAAAGTGGAATAAACTAAATCAGCAAGTTTTCGACCAATCAGAATGCAGCAAAATTAGAGTTCCAAAAAAGCCGTAGTGATTTTTACTGCTTTTATTAGTAGGGGTGGAAACTATTTAATAAATGCCATAGAGCGCGGGTTTTCGAGATTTTTGAGTAGAATAAAAGTTCTAGACAGATGCAGAACCTTCGGAACAACAAAATTAATCATAAAAAAAAGAAATAAATCCATATCTCAAACTAAATTTTATTTGGAGTCTTTTTACACATACGACCTAAAATACTGTGTACTTGATCGGAAGAATAGTTTACATCAAGATTCGAATTATATTGGTTATTCGTTTGATATTAACTCATCAAACCCAGCACTCCCAATTCATTTTTTCAAATCTCTTGTGAAAATCTTCTTATTTGTCCCAAATGTTTTTCTAGATCATTGCAAAATTTTTAAATGTTTAGAAAAACTAAGATGTCTAAAAATTTCTAAAATAACAATCTTCATCCCAGTTTACTTAATATTGTTGAGTTTCTTTCAAAATGTTTCCGTATGTTTGAAGTTTAATGAACATCTAATTAAATTTTTTCAGGCAGAAAATATACAAAAAATACAAAATGACTTTTATGTTAAATTTCAACCGCCTGAGAGATACCCATTGGATTTCAAGAACCGTTTTCAGGTGTCTCTGAGCAGAAAAATTTGTTCATGAACTGAGAACAATTTCTCATTATTTGTTTTAACAGAATTGTTTTCTAAAATCATTTAAATAACTCGCTGGAAAAGAAAACGATTTGATACAAACAAAAAAGGAAAAACGTAACAAAAAAGAAAAATGAAGAAGGAAAAACACAGGCAAAGATTACACTTGTTCTTCGTTGTCTGCACTCTAGCACTTCGAAAAAGTCTGACTGAAGCCGTTTGCGCCGGAACGAGTTGCAGTTGTTATAAAACGAAAATAAATTGGATTGGTTTTGTTAACAACTCCAGTTCAGCGTTTTTTGCAGCCCAAAAAATTCAAGGATATATCATTTTATATATATATATATATATATATATATATATATATATATATATATATATATATATATACATAGAGTCAGCTGTAACAATTTATAATCATTGGTTATATAGAATCGCTAGTGCCACTTTTTGAGCTTGAATATTTGCCTGAATTAGCATGCTGTTTTGAGAAATCATATAAATTGGGACTTCTTTCCTGAAAAATTTGATAGTGTTTTCAATAACTCAAACAATGAAGTTTTTTTGTCAAAAATAATTTATTTTTAAGCCTTAGATCTGTTACTGACTGAGATTTAAGGATTCCGAGTGTTGCTTCGAATATTTGCTCCAAAATTTAGTCCAAGAAATCATTTTTTTGTTTTTTGAGAAGGCTTATGCCAAAACATTGTACCGGATAGCACATTGAGCATCAATTTTATATAGATGGACTAGATGTATAGTTTACAGAATTATCTGAAACTAATGCCGCAAAACTTTGCAGTTAAATTAATTGCATTTTCTTATCACTATTTCATTCAAGATCCAAAAATAGAACTTCAAAAAATATCTCTCTACAATAACATCTGCAAGAATGAATCTGGCTTAATATTATATTGCTAAAATTTCACCGGAGGAAGAAGAATAAAATTCAAATATATTCAATTTCACTATGAAAAGAAAATACGTCTGAACAACAAAAAATTTCAAATTTCATTACGAGGCCAAACTGTGCATTTTGTGCATTGTAAGCGGATTTCGCAACAAGGACGCTCCCTTTGTTCTTCTTTTGTTCTTTACTTTCCTTTGACCGCTCCGACAAATTTTTAACATGTTTAAAGACTTGTCTCTGGAATCCAGGAACATACAGACACAAAATTTTGCGCTTATCCAGTGCACAGTTTGGTCTCGTAATGTTTTTCGACATCAAAATTTGTTTCTGGCAAATCGTGCTTTTATAATATATCACATTTGATTTTCTACAAACATTTTATAGAAGAATTTGAAAAAAACATGCCATACAGTTTTTTTCCACTTTGAGATGTAGTCAAAAATGTAGGCTTAAAACATTACTCTTAAAAAAAGGTTATGAAAGATGTTGAAAACAGGTGCTAATATGCTGCAGATCATCTCAAAATTCATAACCAACTCATTAACAAAAGTTACAGTTTTCGGCTAGAAAAACTATCTGTTCGAGATTTTCAAAAAATTAACCGCATACCTTGTTCATTTCATTGAAGAGAACGCTGAGAAATTCAAGCTATTTTTACTTCTTTTCATAGAAAGTATTCAGATATCCGAGCAAAAATTTGAAAAAATTAGATAAAAAAGCTTGAAGCGTAAAGTAGAATTTTTTTTATTGAAATGCGGATATATTCGAGCATTTGAATCGGCTGTATATGAGTACCAATACGCAACTGAAGAAACTAAATTTTTGTCTGATACTTGTTACTATGAACGAATCTTAAAAACAAAGTCTGTTTGAAAACTTTTGCTTGGGACATCCTTCTTTGAAGAAAAACTGAATTGAGGCTAGAAAAAGAATTTTTCTGCGGTTGAAAAGAGTAGTAAAACATTGAGTTCAGTCAGTGTTAAAAACAAAATGAAAAATCTAAGGAAAAGAATGTACAAAATCTACTCTCCAAAACTAAAATTTATCGTTGGAAAAAATGGAAAATTTTAGGCAGTATAGGGAAAATATTCTCAACCTAATACAACACTTTGGTTATTTTTTGTTGAAATGGTTAATCACTTTTGTAGTTTTCATATTTATGGATTTCATTAAATAGATTAGAGAAATTAGCGTGGAGGTTGATCGAAGGTGACAAACAACTCAGAAGTCCAGTTCTTTTTAGCATCAGAGTTGGACAGATTGATTGACACTTTGATTGGCAGTAAAAACGAAGTATACCTGAATTTGTTTTGCAACCTAATTTAGTCACAGTTGATATTCCCCTTCTTGCGAAAAAAAAATTAATTAAATTAATTGAAAAAATAACAGAACAAAAAACTTTGTACTGAATTTTAACCAAACCAATTTTTTGAAGGTTTTGGCCCCCTTTTTTCTTCTTTTCATTTCTCTTCTCCATTTTTGATAAATGGTCGATCACAACCGCACCAGTTTTATTAACGTCGGTTTGACCAGGCTAGCATAGATTCCTGACTCGAGTAGGAGAGCAAGCATTGATTCCGGCTTCGTTTTTTGGTTCAAACTTTGGTGGTGGTAATGCAACCGGTGCCAAAGGTAGAAGAGCTTAGTTCAAATGAATTGTCACTGAGGTTTCCATTTTTTGGGGATTTGCTTTTTGGGTTTTCACTTTTTGCACTGGATTGTTCGAACATTTTTTGATCGGCTCTTAACTCGTCGCTGGCTCCATTTCTTCTTTTTTTTGCCGCCTTTTTTATGTCTGTCATTCTTTCTCGCTCTTGCCCGTTTATTTTTCACGGCCTCGTTAGCCATTCGATCGTCTTTGACGCTTTATAACATTCAACTACTGCTGTTTCAATCCTTCTTCTGTGTTTCCTCACATGGTCCTATGTTGCTCTCCTCTGATTGCGTCTCTTGCGGCTTTCGCGTTCCGATTGGGGGAAGGTTTATTCTTCGGTTGCCATACTCTGTGTCCAAACTGAGCCCTCAATTTGTATTCGCAGGATGCGGCATATTACGGACCACTGTATCACGCTCATGTAAACAAGAAGCTTGGAAATTTTCAAGTTTAGATTGCTTAAAGATGGTTTCTTTGTCAAATATCCTTAGAACAGAGATTACCCCCAAAAAACATGGCGCGCTTTAAAAGACGAGGTTTTTAGCATAGCATAATTTGAGAATCTTCACGCTCCAAGGGCCTTTTCAAGCATGTTCTTCAAGGTTCCGAATGTTCTTTCAAACACTTCTTCTGAGGGCTCCGATTTTTCCTCCCAAGCACATGTTCAGACTGATTTCGTTAAAGCATTTATAGTTTGGGTTAAGCTCCACCCCGTAACCCGAAGGCCTTTGAGTGAGGATTGAATAATTTTTTTCCCTTTCGCTTGCGGAAATATTGGACATGAATAGTTTACTAAGCGCTCATTGCTGGTTGAATGCTTAGTAATTTTATCCTAAGTTATAAGTCTCACTTTAAATCGTCAAATTATCTTGACAAAAAGTAGAGTAGAAACAATAGTTAGAAAAAGTATGAATTAATTAGTTGGTTAAATACAAAGCACTGGGTAATTAGATTATATAAGCGAATCGAACAGCTTAAAGAAATATACCTATGAGGGGAGGTTGAGTTAATCTTATTTTGTTCATCAATATTTTATCTTCCTACTAAGGTCGATGACTGAGTAGTATTTCTTGGGTTGCCTTGATGTTGTCCACTTGGCACTTCTGGTTTGGTTGTCAGTTTCGTCTTGCCGTAGTCCTTTGGGTACTTGTAGTCCAGACTTCCTCAGATGGGGTTATCTCGAGTATCTCGATTTATAATTTTATCGAACTTGAAATGAGAATTTATTCTCTGTTTTATTTGTGAAAAAAGACTAGTTTAATTTTACTGTAAAGGCAGAAAAGAAAAATTATTTATTTTTTGAAAAGGTCTAACTGAAGATATCTAACTTACTGCTTACTGAGCAAAATGAAACACTGAAGATTTCAAGCCAGTCCTTTTGCTCGTAAGCATAAACCGGCGGCTGATTCAATCTTTAATTATTCAGGTTTCACCTGCTCCTTTGTTCTCCCTTTCTAATAAGGGAATTTTCAACTAGTTTTTATTTGATTTTTTCAAATCAAATATCTTTAACTTATTAGTCCCCTTTGATAAAAACCGCAGCCTTCAGTTTGTCTGATTAAAAATTCATATTACTCTCTCTGATGCATCATATTGCAGGTGCATCTCTGCTTAATCAAAGCAAGGAGAATTTCAGTGCAGCCGGCAAGACTGCTAAATATTCATCCAGTTTGTTT